TATACCTCGTAAAACACTCCAAATATTTACTAGATTTTCTAAGCTTATCTTTTCCCCATTTCCTTTTCAATTTGGACTGTAACTGATTCGAAAATAACCTGATAAATATTTTAACAATAAACTGAAGTATATTTATAAAGATTTTTATTTTAATATATGTAATAAATTAGAATATATTTTAATATATGAATGCTTAAAATTATAAAAAGTTTATCAAATTGTCATGTTAAAAGTAAATCCATAACAAATAACGGTCAAAATGAATTGCTTTTGGTCCGTTTTAATCATATTTCTAATAATTAAAAAAAACATAATCATTTACCTTTTCATGATCAAAAAAACATGTTCTCTTGGCTTTCCACCACCAATCTTTTTTAAACTATCAAGCTGAAATAAATGTAGTAAAAACTAGTGTAACTTAAATTTCTTTACAACATTGAGTCTAACACAAGCTAGTTATTTCAGTTCATTTACAAATACTTTTCATTTAGATTCTAAACTAGTAAACCAAATTTAAACAAACTTATTAAAAATTAAAATAATTAGATTATACCAAATTAGTATACTGGGTTTTATCTTTTAGTTTATTATCCAGTGTAACCACTTCGTCCACTGATTCTAGCAACTTCACCCAAGTAGCCTGAAACTTAATTTCTATAACTTCTTTTAAAAGAACTTTTATTTCTGCAAGCTTGTTGAGAATAACATTTTGCATCTCTACAAACAAGAATAAAAAGATTGTTTAACATATTTAGCTCATAAAACTAAATATGCTATTGTTTCGCAGTGGAAGCTATTAAAGTTCCACCACTGATATGGAACCATCAGGCCGTAAGAGTCTTAAGAGAAGAAAGAAATATATTATATAAGTGCAAGGGAGTGCTAGATAAATTATAATATTTGGACAGATGTCCAGTATTAAGAGGTGGTGTTAAAGAGGGGAGTATTATTCACTAGTTAAGTTAGAGTTAAGTAAGTGTTCTTTAAGTTAGGTTTAAGTAAGTGTTGTTTCAGTGTTCTGTAAGTTTGTGTTAATTATTGTGCTTTGTGTTTGTGGTGTTCTAAATGTTCAAGTTTAATATGTGAATTAATGTCTTTCTTTGTATGAATCTGTATTTTCGTAAATATTTTAATTTTCCGTCTTATTTAATTTTGATGTTATTATGTTCTTTGTGATCGTAATCTTTGTTAAAAGCACTTTATAAGATATGTTTTAACATATGTTGATAGAACATATGAGAGTGTGGAGTTTGTTGCTATTTTTGTAAGAACTATGTGCGGGGTGCAGTACAATTATAGCAACACAGTTTGGCTCAGTGGTGTTGGTTCGGGGCAGTATGATGCTTGTTAGGTAAACCAATAAGTTTCTTATATTATTTATAGAGAGACTTATGTATATCTAGAATATTATATATATCGTGTATAATATATCCGATATGCATAGTATGTATGCTATAAAGCTTTAGTGATTACCATCGTAAATTGGAGGTAATAAATTAGTAGTAAATTAGTAGTACAAATTATTGTAGTATAAAAGTAAAACAAGTTGAGGGGAAGGTGCTGCGCGAGTGGAGTTCGGGGTTGAGGTCATCATAATGGTCGAAAGTTGTGGCATGTGACAAACCTTCATCTCGTCAGGGCCATGTCGGAATGTCTAAGCTTGTTTCGAAGAAGTTAAAGTACTAAAACAACTCCATGGCCTACAGCTTAGTTACCACGTGAGGTTTAGATATGTGATGAACTCATACCCGAGGAGTCTCCCATTTCATCTGGTGTGCGTATCGAGAATTATAAGATCATACAGAATAGTGTAGATCATTATAATATGTTCTCACGCAATTATATAATACTGTGAGAGTTGATTTAGAATCTTAGGGGGTTGGGTACGGGAGAGCTGGTTTAGGCATAGAAGTATGTCTAAACCAGCCTAAACACCCATATAAGAACACAATTCTACATATACATGTATACACACCTAATGCATAAACACACGTCCACATACATGCACACGCATATGCGCATATAAACACGCAAACACATGCACACGCAAGTACACATATACTTGTGTGAGTACAACTCTGCATAAAACAGATAAATCAGGTAACGGAGTGAAATAGAGTGAAATAGAGGGGGTTGGGTGCAAGAGTATGAATCCAAATATAAATGTATGTGCACATGTATATGCACATACAAATATATCTGTATGAACACTACCATGTATAAAACAGAGGTCTATACATACTAAGAGGGTAACAGGGTAGGGTGTGCATATATGCATGCAAACACATACATCCCCACATGTCCGCATATACAGATGCATGCATATATGCATGCAAACACGCACAAATGATATACATAAATGAAGTACATACATATATAAACACAACAATTTTCAGATAACGGAGTCGGACCCTAGGGGGTTGGGTATGAGGGGGATAATTAATAGTTTTAAAGATGTTTTTGGTGTAAAGGTTTGAACTAAACCTACCGTTTGTAGCAT